GTTCAAAACGTGCCTTCTCTTGGAACATAGTTTTTAGTTCTTCCAAGATGACATAAGCCTCCTTGCCTTCGAATCGCTTCTGAAGTTCAGGACACATAGTTCCCAGCATGAGGCAGGAGATGTCAACATCATCACTGATATGCTTTATCCAAGCATCTCGAGTGGCGCGTGGAGCATTTGCAGCAGGCTCATTGTCAATGTTGATGGGAGTTTCAAAAACATACAGTTTTCGTTCTTGCCTAAGAACGATTCTCAGGTTTCTATACCAATCGAGGAAATTGGGTCCTGTCAATTTCTCCTTCTCAAGGATAGATCGCATGGATAAAGCAGATACATTGCTAGTGTTGGAAGCAGCCATCGCTCTTTTCAATTGGCAGGTGAATGAAGGTTTTGCCGTTCCAAGCTTTCGTTCACGAACACCGCGTCGTTTATTCCGAAAGAAACGACATTGCGTTTAAGTCGGAATTGTAGCATAGGATAGGAAGCGCCGAGAAGTTCGCAGCTTCTCCGACGCATCTGATATGGTCTGGAAATCTACCATATGTACGCGTGTCTATGTATGCACGTGTGAATATGTGTATATGAATGAATGCGTGTATATGTATGTATGTATGTCTGTGTATATAGTATATATAGTATGTATGTATGTATGTGAATTTATTTGTATATATATATATTAAAAATATTTAACTTTTAGTAAAAATCCGATATGTTGACCAGGTGGTAGTCATATGCTTGTGGAACATGAATTGTGCCACTTTTCGTTTCCGAATTAACGCCGTTTATTTTTAAATGAAGTTTCGTAAAAATTTTAAACGTTCATTGTGTTTTTTTTTGTTAGAATGAAAATCCCATATGAATTAGGTAGCAATTGTTCTTTGGATTATATATGATATTTGAAGCTAAAAGAAAATAAATGATTGATCTTCAAATATAATATAATATAATATATATATATATATATATATAGTGGAAACAAAAATATTGCATGAGGAAAGCAAACATCGTTTATTAATAATACAAGATGCATACACAGAATCATCACGTAGATTAGCCTCTAGCTATACCTACAAATATGACAACACACAGAAACGATATATGAGACGTATACATACACACATACACACACCAATACACCATGAACAAGTTTCAACACTTTCTCCAGCATCCTCTAAAACACGGATGCAGACCAGACACTCTCACACGTGACACGACCAAAAAAAAAACAGATCAAGAGAAAGGATCTGTCTGAAGAAAAAAAGGCTGTCATTAGATCAAGAAACTCGGGTTCAAGCTCGACGGATTCGATTAAACGGAGCTTTTTCAGAAGAACCGCGGATGAATCTTGATTTAAATGGATAAAATGTTCAGAAGCGAGACTCTTGCTTGTATCATTGCCTTGAACAGACCTTCAAGACCTTCCTCGAGCTCTTCCATGGCGGATTCCACAGCCTCTGATCCGACCAACGCACGCTGAATCTTCTCGTGCTCTTCGTTTTCTTCCGTTTCGGCTTCATTCACGAGCTTCCCTAGCTCGGCTTCCATGGCTTCCAGCTCGTGGCAGAAACCCTTCTCCCCTTTCCCTTCGGCCCCTTTCTTCACGAATTTCAGAACCAGTCCCCACCCTCTGTGCTTAGGCTTGACCCCGGGCGATGACAAGAACGTCAAGACCGAGTGGAACACGACACAAGACATATCACTCGTCTCTTGCATAACCTTAACCATGGCCGAGACCTGATGGTTCACTTCCCGTAACAGCGGAAAACCCTCCAACGTTATTGCCTCTGTCTCTTTCGTCAACACCAAAGATCTGGCAATCTCCTTCTTGATCTCCTTTCTCGATCCGACGTAAGCATTGACATCGCCATCGATGCAGATTTCCCCGCCCTTTTTGCTTCTCCTCAGAGCGGACTGAAGCTCCAAAACGTTCTTCTTGATCTTCCCCGCCACGTCCTTAGCGCTGCTGCAAACGTCCAAGTACTTCAACGACACTTCAAGAAGCTGGTTCGTCAAGATCTGGTGTCGTGCCTGAGCGAGAATTTGTTGGATATCAGAGGATTTGAACAGATCGTCGAAGCATCTGTATAGACCAGTCAGGCCAGATAGACAGGTCAAGATCGTCGTCTTCGAGTTCCACGAAATCTCGGACATGGATCTTAGTTTGCAAAGCTGTTCTTGAATCTTGCCGACACAAGGATGCGACCGAACCGGCAAGCTTACGCATCTGTTCCTGTAGGGTTTAGGGCATAGTCTCGGTGATAACGTAGCCATATTCATGGAGATCTTGAGAATAATCTCGTGACGATGATCAGATATGGAATCTTGAGTTCTGCACTACTTTCGTTGCGTTTTCTTGGGTTATTATTTATAGGAAAATTTTAATGAGAATACGTGAGATAATTAATCATAGAGAAATAACTTAAAAAATCATGAATTTTCAAAAAAAAAATTGTAATTTCTATATAAATTCAGGACGTTTATAAAATTTGTCATATTCCTTTAAAATTTATAAACTAATGATTTTATAGAAATATTAAAAAATTCATAAAGTGAATAAATATATGAGAAAATGGAAAAATTTATTAAATTTACAAATATATGTGAAAATGGCAAAATTTATAAATTCATGGTTTATAATTTTATATATATATATTTTGAAAATTCTTTGATTTTTTTAGATTATTATGCCATTTAATGCGATGGGCCATGTCCAAACGTGAGTGTGGGTATTGTTACTGGTCACTACACATGCAGAGGAGACACGTAAACAATTATTTGGCTCGTTACATTAAATGTGGGTGTCACCTTTTTGGTTATTTTGTAATTTTATTTTTCAGGTTCGATGTTTCGAGTTCGGGTTCTCACCATTTCCCATGCATTTCCCTCACCGCCCACGTAGAATTTTCGAAACCCCATAACGTAAATATCTTTTGAGAAAATCCAAGTTTATATGGTCTAATAACAAAAAAAAAAAAAATATTATATTATATTGATTCAAATTCAAATATAGAGATGAATCTTCATTTGAATTTTTTCAATTCTCCAACAAATATAGGTTAGTTTAAAACATTCATCTGAATTTTTTCGTTTTTTGTGAGTTTTTAGTAAATTTTTGAATTATAAAAAAAATATTTGAAAAAGTAAAGATTCAATAAAAATACAAGAGAGTTAACAAAACGTCCGAATAGATATGTAAGTTTGTTCATTTTATATAAAATACTTCAACTATTAAGAATTTTCAGATAACCACATGAAATATCATCGTATTTTTATATTGGAATGACGTAAATGGTCTCAAAAAGTTGTATATTTTTTATTTAAAGTTTTTAATGTATTTTGATGGTATTTGTTTTATAAATACTTTATGTTATTTATCGATGCACGAGTGAAGGGCGATAGGTTCGTCCCTACCCCCAGGTAACACCTGTCTCATCGTATTTTCGTTTTGCATGGGAATTTCTTTGTCCCCGTCTATGAACATTTTATCCTATGATTAGTCTATGACATATTTATATTCCTCGTACTATTAGCCTATGGAATTTTAGTTAATCTTTTTTTTACTAGATTAGTTTTTCAAATTTGTAATAAAACTAAATCCATAAAATCTTGATTATCAATTTTTTTTAAAACTCTAAAAACTCCGTTCATTCAAGCTCCTAATTTCAGTCCTAATCTATCGTCCCTTATTCTTATTTTTTTTTTCCCGAACGGGCTCAACTCGTCACGGATTCCGGGCCTTTGTTGACATGCCTACGCGCCTCCCGTGGTTGGCCTGAAACAGTGATTTTGCATTAGACAATAACTTTGGTGGGTAATAAAAATAAAATTAAGGTTTGAGGGAAAAAAACAATCAAATCTTACAGGCCGACAGAGACTTTGAAAGAGTCATATATAAGCCACTGTGCACCAACCAGTGTCCCTATCGCCACAACACGTAGAGGAAGCCCTTTGACCCCTAACGTCATAACGTGTTTGAACAGACCCCAATGCCCAAGTTTCTTCAATGCCTCCTATCACAGATATACACTGGCCCAATTATTGAAAATGGCCCAGCCTGTGTAGGACCAAGCCTAGAAAAAAACAGAGAGCGTAACAAACTCGAAGATGACACTCTCTGTATTTTTCTTTTATTCCTTATAGTTTGTTAGAAGTTTGTTAGGAATTTGTTATTCTTTCCTGTATAAAATCATGTACAGATTGATGATTAATTAACAGAAAAAAAAAATTTCTTCAAACACTGAAATGGTATCAGAGCTTTTTCTCTGATTCTTCTTTGCAATTTATGTCGTTCTCTCTTTCTAGGTTTTCTCTGCGTTTTTCATGGCGGAACCTGTTCCCGCTGTTGTTGTTCCCGCTGTTGTTGTTGGGGTGGTTATTGTCACAAAACCCCTGACCAGCGCGAGAGATTTTCTTTCTTGGCTTTGTGCTTTCCGAATGGCTCTCGAGGGTCGGAACAAGTTTGGCTTCGTCGACGGTTCTTTACCCATGCCCGCGGAGGACGATCCGAATCATCGTTTCTGGGTTCAAAACAACGCCATTGTGGGTGGTTGGATTATGAACCCTGTTGCTGAGCATATCGCTCAGAACTTACTTTATGTTGATACGGCTCGAGACATGTGGCTGTTTCTGTCGAAGAGCTATCAACAAAGCAATGCTCCAAGGAAATATAGGATCAAACAGAAGCTGCACGATTTGCGTCAAGCCTCGATGGATGTTGCCTCTTACTTTACAGCCATCTTTGCCGTTTGGAATGAGTTTAAGTCTATCCGAGCTAATCACTCGTGCACTTGTGGCCGCTGCACGTGTCTCCTTTCAAAGAGATGGAATGATGAAGATGAAGGTGATTTCATCATTGATTTCCTCTTTGGACTCAATGACGAATATGAGGGAGTCCGTAGTCATCGAGTTTTGACTACCACTGGTTTTACTCATTCACAAGCTGATCACACGCTCTTTGTTCGGGTGTCTGGTTCCTCTTTTGTAGCTTTACTCGTCTATGTAGACGACATCATCATCACTGGAAATGATGATTCGGCTGTCCAGAATTTAAAAAGCCTTCTCAGAAGCAGCAGGAGCAACAATGACTTATTCGCCCTACAAAGCTCTCTGACGCGGTTGTCTTTCAGACTTCTTCTCATTCTTTGCCCAAATCTGTATCTGCTGTTTCTGGCTGTACTTTCAAAGGGAAGCAGCGACCACTTTGCACCCACTGCGGGCTATATGGCCACACATTCCAAAAATGTTATCGGCTTCACGGTTATCCACCGGGTTACCGAACTCCGAAGTCTGGTGTATCGACATCTCCTCGCCCTTCAGCTCGACAACAGTCCAAGCCTCCCATCAACTTTGCAAACGTTGCTGCGGATTCTGGCTCTGTTGCTGACGTAGACAAGCTATCTTTAAGCCAGATTCATGATCTCTGTTCTAAGATCAACAATCGACTCAAATCATCCAATGCTACCATCACAGAGACCGACGCCCCTGCCTCTGATCCAGATGCTGGTAACACTCATCTCCTCTCTGCTTTTGTGTGCCATGCATCATCTGTTTCAGGAGAATTTCATAATTCCTGGATTTTGGACTCCGGTGCTTCAGCTCATGTTTGTTTTAACAAACATTTGTTCTCTGAGATTGTTCCCATTGCTCCCAGTACTGTGACTTTGCCTAATGGTCTTCAACTCTCGGTTACACAGGCTGGACGTGTCCCCTTGAATGATCATTTACTGTTGTCGAACGTACTCTATGTCCCGTCTTTTACCTTCAACATCATAAGTGTCAGTGCTCTTTTTCGTGGCACTAACCTTTCCTGTCTTTTCTCTTCTGATTTTTGCTCTATTCATGAACGTTCTCGGGGATCAACGATTGGGAGGGCTAAGCTCTTGAAACAATCTCTATTTCCCCGAGTCCGATTTCAATCCTGTCATTCCTTCGTTTTCTGTCAATTCCGTTTATGTTGATACTTCCTTATGGCACTCTAGACTTGGTCATTTGTCATTTCACAAGTTGCGATCAATGTCACAAACGCTCTCTCTTTCAAATTTTAGCTCTCCTTCACACTGTCGCGTTTGTCACCTCGCAAAACAACGTCGCCTTCCTTTTCCTTCGAATAACAATATCTCAAAATCTTTGTTCGACCTTATACATATTGATGTTTGGGGGTCCTTTTCTCATATCTCTTATGACGGGTATAGGTATTTTCTAACGATAGTGGATGATCATTCTCGGGTGACATGGGTATATATGCTGCGGTATAAGAATGAGGTTCTACAGGTTGTACCTCAATTTCTGACAATGGTCGAAACCCAGTTTGCACTAAAGGTTAAAGCAATCCGATCTGACAATGCGCCGAAGTTGTGCTTCGCCTCACTATTTCAGTCTAAGGGGATTCTACACTACTTCTTCTGCGTTCAAACCCCGCAACAAAACTCCGTGGTCGAGCACAAACATCACCATATTCTAAATGTTGCTAGGACACTGCTGTTTCAAGGAAACATTCCTCTGTCTTTCTGGTCGGAATGTATCAGAACGGCGGTCTTCCTAATTAACCGGACTCCGTCGCCACTTCTGTCCGACAAAACTCCTTATGAGCTGTTAAAAGGCAAGGCTCCAGACTACTCTTATCTTCGTGCTTTCGGTTGTCTGGCGTATGCATCTACCCTCATCTCAGAGCGACATAAGTTTTCAGCAAGGGCACGAGCGATGGTCTTTCTCGGTTATCCCTCCGGCTACAAAGGTTACAAACTCCTTGATTTGGAATCTAATTCTGTTATTATTTCCAGAAACGTTGAATTTCATGAGACCATATACCCCTTTCATTCTGATATATCGGTAATTCCTGGTACAATATTTCCTTCATCCATTCTACCTTTACCGATATCTGTTTCTTCAAACCCATCTTTAAATTTCGGCCAAAACCCATCTTTAAATGCCAGCCTAGATCCTTCTTCAGTTCCAAGCCCAACTTATTCCTCCCTTGGCCCAGATTTGGATTTGGACATCTCTACTAGGCCCAAACGTTCTACCAAACTCTCTTCCGACAAATCATTATCCTCTCTTACAAAATCCATTTATCCCATATCTTCTGTCCTAACCTATTCTCGCCTTTCTGATCCTTATCGAAAATTCGTCCTGAATTCCACCATTATTTCCGAACCAAAATCCTTCAAAGAGGCTGTAACTAATGTGGATTGGAGGCGTGCCATGGACATAGAGCTCGCTGCTCTTGCTGCAAACAACATCTGGTCCATCGTTTCTCTGCCTCCCGGCAAGTATACTGTTGGATGTCGTTGGGTATATCGGATAAAGCGCAAGTCCGATGGTTCTGTTGAGAGATTTAAGGCCCGGTTGGTTGCCAAGGGCTTTACACAATGAGAAGGCGTGGATTTTCTGGATACCTTCTCTCCAGTTGCCAAGTTGGTTACTGTGAAGCTAATTCTCGCTCTAGCGGCTGCCAAAAACTGGTCTTTATCTCAACTGGACGTCACAAATGCATTTCTTCACGACACACTCGATGAGGAAATCTACATGGCTCTACCTCAGGGTTACATGGCTGCTACAGGTGACTCTCTTCCTCCAAATGCTGTTTGTCGTTTACATAAATCCCTGTATGGTTTGCGACAAGCTTCAAGGCAATGGTACATTACCTTTGCCCGAGTTTTGACTACCACTGGTTTTACTCATTCACAAGCTGATCACACGCTCTTTGTTCGGGTGTCTGGTTCCTCTTTTGTAGCTTTACTCGTCTATGTAGACGACATCATCATCACTGGAAATGATGATTCGGCTGTCCAGAATTTAAAAAGCCTTCTCAGAAGAAAATTTCATATCAAGGACCTTGGTTGTTTGAAGTACTTTCTGGGATTGGAGATTGCTCGTTCGCGAACTGGTATAGTTGTCAACCAACGCAAATACTGTCTGCAATTAATTGAAGATGCCGGCTTACTCGCCTGCAAGTCAGCTTCCACTCCGTTAGATCCCAACTCTCGTCTGACAAAAGAATTGGGGGAACCTTTGTCCGACATTACTGGTTATCGACGGCTAGTTGGCAGACTTCTGTACCCCACACTCACTCGACCAGATATTACCTTTGCCATGCACAAGCTGAGTCAGTTTCTCTCTTGTCCAACCACAGTTCATCTTCAAGCTGCTCAACGTGTTGTGCGCTACTTAAAAGGGAATCCAGGCCAAGGTCTACTATATTCGGCCACATCTGACATTCGTTTGAATGCCTTTGCGGATGCTGATTGGGCATCCTGCCCCGATTCTAGACGGTCGACTTCGGGCTTCTGCGTTTTTCTTGGTGAGTCTCTTATATCCTGGAAAGCTAAAAAGCAAACTACCGTCTCACGTAGTAGCACCGAAGTCGAATACAGATCTTTGGCAAACGTAACTTGCGAGCTTGTCTGGTTACATAATTTGCTCACTGATCTGCACGTTGTTGCATCTGGTCCTGCAACATTGTACTGTGATAACAGATATGCCATCTACATTGCTTCAAATCCCATTTTTCACGAGCGAACGAAGCACATTGATATTGACTGTCACCTTGTGCGGAAGAAACTTCAATCGGGTTTTCTGAAGATGCTCCATGTTCCCTCACACAATCAGTTGGCCGATCTCTTTACCAAACAGATGCAACCCGCTCTGTTTTCTGCTCTTTTGAGTAAGCTTCATCTTTCAAGCCTCTATCTGCCGATTGCGTCTTGAGGGGGGCGTATCACAGATATACACAGGCCCAATTATTGAAAATGGCCCAGCCTATGTAGGACCAAGCCCAGAAGAAAACAGAGAGCGTAACAAACTCGAAGATGACACTCAGTTTTCGTTCTCTGTATTTTTCTTTTATTCCTTATAGTTTGTTGGAAGTTTGTTAGGAATTTGTTATTCTTTCCTGTATAAAATCATGTACAGATTGATGATTAATTAACAGAAAGAAAATTTCTTCAAACACTGAAACCTCCAACTGCAATAGCACCCATTGCCATTGTGGAGATTGAGTTCTAAATATATGAGTTCTGGAAGGGATTTAATCGAACCCTTTTACGGATGACGAGTTCTATCAATCGGTATATTGAGAACATGGGCATCCTCCCCCCTGACGAGATAACTTTTTGGAATGAATTCTACCCATGGGGGTTTAATTGAACTCGGTTCAGAACCGGGTTCTATGAATTCGCCAGTACATTCAAGTATATGAACTTACCTCTGCAGGCGTTGCTCGTATGGCGTGGCTGAGGGAGGGAAGTAGATGGATTGTGGGATGAGAAAACATAGCAAACAACGTTCCAGCGAGCAAACCTCTGGAAAAACTTGATCTGAGTTGCTCATTTTTGCTGCACTGCTCCTTTGGTGGGCAGACTCCGTTTTTGTAGTCCATCTCCGCAAATGTCTCGAAAGAAGCAAAGATCATCATAGTGTCTACATCAAGCAAATAGCACATCCATGGTCAACAACCCTTCACTTGCAAAAGCAAAACTCAATATTGGTTTATGCTCTAGTGTTAGGACAATAACTTACAAGGAACCTGACGTCCCCAGAGCCGACCAAGTACCTTATACAAGCTGCAAGAGCAAATCAGACACAGAGGTTAAGGTTAAAACGGTCGTATCGTATCGGAAGTTCTTCAAACTTACCCGCCGACACCTTCAGACTTGACAAACTTGGGAAATCCATCAGACATTCCCCTCGCGAATCCTGGCTGGGACTGAACCCTGGCTTTCACTGCCTCGAATGGGCAGAGAGCCACATCGGCGATCACCTCAGCGGAAGCAGCACTGGCTAAGTAGACGAGTGTCTTGTACTCGGGTCCAGCAATGTCCGAATAGCGTTTCTTAAAGAACTCGTAGAATCCGAACCTGCAGGCTCCCAGAGCGCTGTGACCTAACAGAGTGGGAACCCATCCACGGAAGACCCCCCTCACTCCTTGCTCTCTGAGCAAAACTCCGAATCCAGACGAGATGCTCTTGTACTTTGCAGGATCCATCTGAAAGGTAAAGAAATTACCAATTATGAACAGCAAAGTATACGAAATCTGCATAAGAGAGGGAGTGTTCATTTATTTTTATCTACTTTCTTCTAATCTACAAAGGGAGGCTCAGAGATGATTCCTATGGAGCGAATTAGAACACGACTTCACACGCAGATCATATTACCGGAAGAATGGGCGAAGAAACAGGGTATCCGCAGAGGGAATACCTGCATGTTGCACTTGACGAGATCGAGAGGGGTGAGGGCCATGGAAGTGAGACCAGAGCTGAGGATGCCACCCAAGGAACAGGCGGCGTAGAACGCAGGAGAGTACATCTCGATCTTTTTCCGCGGATCGGAGGGAGGTGCGATGAGGAAGCCATTCGGAGATGCATCGACATCGCCGAGGAAAGACCTAGGCGAAGAAGACGAAGAGTAGAGGAAGCTTGGGGCGAAGGAATCCATGGCGGTGCCGGTGGGAGACCTCCGATCCCACGCCATTCACAATCTTCAACTGACAAAATCGGAAAAGTGGGGTTTTTGGTTGGGCAATATAATAACCCGAGTAAATTTTCCTTAATTCATTTGTCTAAGCTCAGAACTAAATAACAAATCTGTAACAAACCCAAACAATGAATGACGCGTGTCTACCTTAACAAACCAATAGCTTACAATTTACAAATTAGATCTACGAACCAGAAAAGTAAACCACATCTTTAACCAGAAATATTCAGAACCATGACCTTCTGATAGAATCAGAGTCTTCGTATAACTTGGTTGCAGAATGTCAGAGTATGCAGACAGCAACAAACGTCGATATACACATTCTGATACAATAGCCAATAGGTTCCCCGGCAGAAACCCTAAAAGGCTCGCCAAAAAAAATGCATAATGGGCCAGGCCCATTTAAAAGCGGATGACAAATTAGAATTTTATTTATTTCTGGATATTCGTTCTAACCTTTTTTTTTAATTTTATTTACTTCAGATATTCGTTCTAACCCTTTTTTTATATATATATATATTGGGGAACCCCGTGACTACCTACTCTTACAAACGGAGACGAACTGGCCACTACCCGCGCCTAACAGTCCCCGACCGGAACTGGCCACCAGGCGCGCCTAACGCTCGGGCCGTAGTTGGTTTAGGCGCCTGCGGGTCAAACCTCAAGCCCACGCGCACGAGCCTGCAACACACGCGTAGGAGGTAAATCAGTCCATTATGATAGACTGACAGGCGAGCAAGTTAGAGGAAGGGAGACGGCAGGGTTCGATCCCTCCACCTCAAGGAGTTATCCCCCTGCTCCCAACCAACTGACCTGACTCCGAAGGGCTTCGTTCTAACTTTTATTTTTAATTGACATGAAAAAATAGATTTGTATGACTCGAAAATAAAATTTCAAAACGATGACCGACGGACGTTTGATTTTGACGCACCTGTTATTTGGACCTGCCCATCGCTTGTCATAACAACACTTAAATTTTAAAGACGCAGTTGGTGTGTGTATATATATAGTTTAATGACAATGGATTATTGTCCTTATTTAGCAACGGACTAGTCCTTAGTTCCGTTCTGTATCTGCCCTTATATACCAACACAATGAATTTCAGGGTGACATCAGAAATCGTGAAAAAAATTAGCGATAGACAGTTTTTGTTTTAGTTTTTAGATTTTAGATTTTAACTCTTTAACTTTTTCGTTTCGTAATAAAAAAAATTAATTTTTAGTTGATATTTTTTTACTGAAATAGTTTTCCAAATTTTTAGTAAAACTAAATCCACAGAATCTTGATTATCCATTTTTTAATCTTTAAATTCTAAAAACTTCATCCATTCAAACTCCTAATTTCAGTCCACAGTTGTATCTATTGGAATGTTGGAGAAAAAGAACAGGATTACTGGGACTCGGTCACAGAATGTCTCGCAAACGAACAAACTCGGACACGAACACAAATGATGTCACATCAAGTCTTGGACTTTCTTGGCTCAACGATCCCATTCACTAATGCAAGACTTGGACAAAACCTGGGCCAAAAGCCCATTTCGATTATGAGAAGCTAACAGACAAAATCAAATCAAATATCTTCTTCATGATTTCATGCATGCGTTACGTCGACATTTTCTTTTGTCGTGTCTTTTTGTGCCTATTTCCTTTTTTTTTGGTAAAGTTTGGCCCGGTGGGTTTCAAACATGGGTGGTTTGGGAGCACTTTGTGCTGCCCAACCACCAGACCACCCCACTCGGGTGTTGTGCCTATTTCCTTGTTTGTTTTTATTTTACTTTTTCGATTTTATTGTCCTCTATGTATATATGTATAAGCGATACGATGAATAACAAAACAAGTAACTATTTCATCAAAATCCTCTTGTCTTCTTCGTGTTCTTCTCTTAGCCGATGGCATAGCCATCTTATTTTCTTGTCTACTCAATCAAATTCATCTCTAAAATACTAAATTCTTCATGGTATCAGAGCACTAAGGTCTTTGGACCCGCTGTGATTTTTTTTTCTTTTCGTTTCCGCTATTAAATCTGCAACACAACAATGGAGTTTCATATGCCACAAAGGGATTCAAAAATCCTTGAAACTTTCACACATGTAAGAGCTCTTAAGTTCATCCGTAATGTCATAAATGAGATGTCTTTGGAGCAGATGAAAAGTGAAAGCACGATTCTTTGGTCAAAGCTTGAAGCACTTCATCCCGCATCAAGTAGCAACGAAAGAGCCAACATCAATGCAACCCTCGTTTATCTCTCCATGCTAGATGGTTCCTTCAACGAATTGAGTCTTCAAATACTCAACGAGGAATCTCTACCATCTATTAGCGAAGTCAGGGCGATGGTGGGCAAAGTGGAGTTAGAGAGATTGCTACAAGGGAGAACAAAATGTAAGTATAGTGAAACCGAATACTACAAAGATGCCTATTACGGTTTTTGCGCTAAAGTTTTGCAGAGGCTAAAAGATGAGGCCATCTATCAACAAGATGATGGGAACGAAGTGGTGCATTCCGAGGAGGACCAAGCAGCCACAATCCCCACAGAAAAGAAAATATCCAACACAACCGACATGGATAATGATGAAACCGCAGAGGCAGACGAACCATTGTGCAATCTGAAAACGATCAGATCTTAAGAACAAATGGAAAAAGACAAAGTGAGGGGTGGATAGAGACATGGTGCAACTTCCAAGAGGAACATAATTCCCAAAGTGAAGCGATGACCAAGACAATGATGTTACAATCCAAATCTATTCAATATGACACAGAATATCTTCATTCGGTTAAGGGAGAAATTTATATTTTTTCCAAGGACTTCTTTCCAAACCGTTGGTCTGAGGGGGAATGTAAGGTGAAAATTCAAGCCAATGGTAAAACACTCTATCTTCTCTTGTTTGATTATAATCACATTTTTGCAACATTATTTTTGGTTTTAAATATAAAACGGAGTGCTTTGGCCTCCTTTGTGTATTTTAATTGGATTGGTGAGTATTTACAGAATTTAGGAACTAGTCTAGAGATGCATTGCAATTGTGAAGGGGAATTATGGAAGATAATTCAACAATAGAATCCATGGCGGTGCCGTGGGAGATCTCCGATATCACGCCATTTGCAATCTTCAACTGACAAAATCGGAAAAGTGGGGTTTTTGGTAGGGATAAATTACTCAAATATACCAAATCACATTAAATTTTTATCGAGAAGACTATATTAGCATAGGCTGAAATGAAATTGTGTAATTATAATTGTAATTGATTATAAATACAGTTGCAATTGATTTTAAATATAGTTGCAATTGATTCTAAATGAATTGATAAAAAATACATCTAATTGTTTACAGAATTTTTAGTTGTTATACTGTCGTAAATACTATTTTTTAGTTGTATATTAATTATATAACACTCGTAATAAAATCGTAAAAAATATATAAAAAAAATGTTATTTTAAATTTTTTAAATTCAAGTGATATAAAATTGAAAAAAAAAAATTTGGATATATCGCTCGTGCGATATATTTAGTATATTTGAGCGATTTTTCCTTTAGATTCCCTAGCAGAAACCTCGACGGCTCGCAAAAAGGAAAAAAAAGCAATTGTATAATGAGCCAGGCCCATAGATCCATAAAGGCCCATTTTACTCCACACTGCGGATATTCGTTCTAACTTTTATTTTAAATTAAATGAAAAAACAATAGATTTCCACGACTCGAAAATAAAATTCCAAAGCGAAGACTGACATACTCACATCTGCACTTAAAGACCATTTCTTCTTCTTTTTCTTTTTTTTTATTATAGGTTCGAATAATTACACTATTTCATTTACGAAAACTAAAACTATTAGAAAAAAATAAAAAATATATATGATTTAGCTATCAAATTCATATCAAAAAAATTTCAGTTTCTGAATTCATAATATATATATATATCTATATTGAACTATTTAATTTTTTTCTATTTTTTAACCGTCCAAAATTCGGTCGAATTTTAAACGGTCACACTGACTTGGTTTCTTCAAAATTGTCGTATCAGAGAGGACAAATAAAAAAAATAATTTAAATATAAAAATAAAAATGACAAAAATGATAAATAAATAAATAAAACAATTATAAAATTTGTATACAGAAATACATATATATATACATATACACATACCGACACATATATATACATACACTCATATGTGTATAAGTATATGGTCTTATTTTAAAAATTGTAAAAGATAATATAAATTCTAATATTACATTTTGCCAATGATACGTCGTTTTCAACAATTCTGAAGAATAAGAATTGTGATAATATATATATATATATATATATATATATATATATATAACTCCATTAATATCTTTCCCCCTCTACATATAAAAATATAATTTACAAAATTGTATACATTATAATTAAATCCCTTCCGGCAAACCCTCTAAAACCGAATGCCCACGAAGGTTTAGTCACATGAATTTCATCATCATCATCATCGTCATCATCATCATCATTGTCATCATCATCACTGGGAGATTATGTTGAGAAGTGAAGCTCTTGTTCTGATCAACCGTCGAAACAAGCCATCAAGATTCTTCTCGAACCCTTCAACACACCTCTCGAGCTCCTCAAGCTTCTTCCCAAGAACTTCATGGGAACATTCTCCACTCGAAACCAACAACCAATCAACGCTCTCGAATTCGCTCTCTTCTCTCTTCTTGTCGGCGACCTCCTCGTCATAATCTCTCTGCAACATCTTCACGACCAATGCCCACTTGCTCTTCCTCTTACACACGTCGCGTCCCGACAAGAACTCCAAGAACGAGTTCAAGATCGAAACACTGACCGAAACGACTCATCTCATGGCGTGAACCACTGCCACCAGATGGTCGTTGTCTCGATCTGAAACGGCGACCGCTCCTGTTCCGATTCTGCTGTCGATGTTCTTCGACGAGACGAGAAGCTTCCGAGCCGCTTTTCTCATGTTCTTTCTGAAACCTACGTAACTCGAAACGACACCGAAATCTCCTCCTCCTCTTCTTCTTCTTCGAACACCCGACTGAAGAACCCGAACGTTTTCGCGCGTCTCCACCATTAGTTCCCTAGAGACATTACACGTATCCATCAATCTCAGCGACCCATCAAGCAGTTCTTCTAGAAACTTCCTGTTCCTCTCTTCGGACAGAACCTGTCGAGTCGAACCCACGTTCAGAAGATCGTCCGTACGCCTGTGCAGCTCCTCCAACGCCGACAAGCCCGCGGAGATCGACCCAGATGTTCTCGACGGCGATATCTCCATCGCCAATAGATTGTTGAGCCCTTCTTCGATCGCATAGTACTCGGATGCGATCTCGAAGGGAAGCTGATCGATCTTGCATGGTTCTTGATCGCCATTTTTTTTTTATGTTTTTTTAATATTCTCTGTCTCTCCTTTGGTATAACGTTCTCGGCGAAATTCAACGAAGAACACGCATGCGTATATATAGTGTAGGTTTTTGTGTTACGTACTTAAAAAATGGTTACAATTATTCGAAATATTTAAATGTTCCGATGGTCTAGGGGTCCAAAGGGTATGAGCTGTCGTGCTTTTTCTTGTCAAATTTTGCGTAATCATTCGGCCACAAAACGGATGAGTCATCTTTGGTTTTGCCTCCCGTTGTGCCACCTTGTCGATGGACTAGCCGATTATTTAAATAATTTGGACGGTCTTTAATGTCCTCGGTAGGTAACAAGATCCTGATTTTCGCAACCATACTATATACGTTCCATGTAGGCCGTTACGGCCTCCTAAATTTATATATACGTCCTTCCATATGATTAGCCTCGACGTATATTTTGTTACCATTCTCTGTATCACGTACACGTGTAAAAAGGCCCGAGATTTTGTCGGATTTCTACGGGTATTTAAGCTTTGCAACGTGTAAACGTTAGGGCCCCCTTTTCACTTCACTGCATGGATTGGAGTTTTCATTTTAATGCGTCGAATGTCTTGCTCGATGGTATCAGACCAAAATTCACACACACATATACATGCACGAAACCATACTAAACGTACCAACTAAGGGGGCGACTGGTTGCACCGCCGTCATATGATTTTGTTTAATTAGTTGTATAATTTAGTTTATTTTTTAGTACTATATTTTAATTAAAAAATACAATAATATCATGTGATTATATAGATGCTAGGTTTAATTATACATTTGTCAATAATTTTTATAATAAAATTATTTTTTACTTAAAAATAAATTAAATTGATAATATTTATATTTAAAATTTATTATTTAATTATTATAAATTTAGTAAATAATTTTTATCAAATGATACGAAAAATTTAATTAAAACTATTATAAAAAATTATTTTTAAATAATATATTTTTTTAACAATTTATATCAAAACGCAACCGCAACCGTAATGAACCATTCACTTCTAACTGCACCCACCCGCAATCGCTACCAATAGCAACTTCTCAACCAGTCAGTATTAATCATTTATAATCGCTATCAAACGTTCTGAAAACGCTGCCACCCGCAACCGCAACCGTTGCGGTACAAGTCGAACCCTAAATCTAAATAATATTCTATCTACATAAAAACTAAATACACGAAAAAAATACGAATCCAGAGATAGGTGTTCTGCTTTTTTTTTTTTTAACTAATCAGATATTTTGAACAAAAACACGTATTAATCACGAAAACACAAAGAAATTATGTGATTGAATTTGGATTCGATTCCACTTATGGACAGAGATGTAATTTCTAAACCAAAATAGTCTATATACAAAGGATGAATGTAATCGGGTCGAAAACTCAAGGAATCATTCGGGTTATAAAAAAAAGTTATGTGATTGAAATTATACTCTCTCCATAATTTTAGACTCGAATTCGGAATAGAACAGACGTTTTTCGTTTTCCGTTCCACCGGTTAAACTATCAATTCGGGTGTTGTTCTGCATTTCCTTGTTGGTCATCATCATCAAATGTGTTAGTTAACAACTCTCCCTCGTTAATAACAATAAAATAAAGTTTCGTGGTCATCCATCACATCACATGAACTAGATGGTTTGTTTTGTGCATAAGAATAATAAAACACGTGAATGAAATGAAGCATTTATCATTATTATTATAGGGCGGTCGCGAGACTCAATTGGGTTATTATGATGAATTCCGTTTGGTTGGTACAATGGTGATGCCACTAAAAACCCGTTCTTGGTTTTTTTTTTTTTTTTTTTTTAATCAATACATGCTCGGCTTAAAACAAATATTTTCTGGAATTCCAAAATATAAGGATAAAAACTAACTTCATATTATTTTCTTGTAACATGTCATCACCATTATACAATCATGTAATAACAAAAATGTTTGAAGTTAAAAGGGATATAGTTAATCATCTTTATCTTTCGAAAAATGAAAAAAGCCTCCAACTTGGAAATGGGTTTTTGATTGTAAGACTGCAAAATTATATAAAAAGATAATTCAAAAAAAAAAAAAAAACAGAACAAGTTCTTCACATCAATGGCTAATGGGGATATTATATAAACCTTTACAAAGAGAAGAACTCTGTTCAGTTAATTATGCCTACAGTCATGAAGCCGACAACGGAGAGAACCCTTGATTATATTGTCTCCCTCGCCTTGTTTCTTCTGCATCGCTGGCGATTTCAGGAGTTGTTTAATCTTTGCTACAAAACAAGTCAAGGTTCATACACATACATACATATATATACATATGCCCATTACAGGTCCAAGAATCTAGGGTTGCAGCATGAACAATAACAAACGAGGTTGTACGGTTGCTGTTTTTACAAGAATCTTGTTTAATCCCTCGTGGTACGTTCTTTCATTTCCCCTCATGTTTCGTATGTTCTTCCGTATTGTCCTATCACATTAGCATTGCTGTTTTGAGAGGCCAGACAAAGGAGACAAATTGGTATTATACAATACAAAAACATGACAGGAAAGAACCAAAATAAACAAGAATCTAGGCTTAGCCAAATGATTAGAGGTCAAGATAATATGATTAATACCAGATGTTTTTGACCACTTGTCTCTGTAAATCTTCTACTTGATCCCCTGTTTTCCATCTCCAATGGTTTTGAATTGTAATCTAACTGAAAAAAAATCACAGTACTCTGCACTTGGGCTACTTAGTGTTGACAAAAGCAGCCACCTTTTTGCATTCAAGAGAGTTATTGTCAACAGCACACCTCTGTCCTCTTCACCTGTCGCTGGAGAACAGAACATAGCAATCTGCTGTCAGATATCATGTCTGAATTCACTGCATCACAAAAACATTACAATAAAATTTTAAAGCATATCTCAAGCAGATTGATTTTTTACAGCTAATAAGCAAATTTGATTCTAGATTGATATCAAACAAGAGCCAAGACGGGCAAAATAAACAATTCAAGAGATGAACATCTGATCGGAAATCCGAATCTGGCTTTCTAAAACCAGTGCATTGTTCACTGAACGTAAGAAATACAGACAACACATCATCACGAAAGTTCACCGAGTCTTCGACCCAATTACATTTTCCAGAGTATCGGAGAAATCTAGTTGAATGACGCTCTCTAAACGGAGATTCGAACCTGGCTTGGGAAAGGAGCGTTACCACCCAATCTTGGGTGAGCCAATACAATATTGAGGACATTATTCCGAGCTTTTGAAGAACATGTGTAAATGCATATGCTGCAGAAACGTACACCAGAAGAAACCATGTTGTGATCCATCAGTATTGATTTCTCATGGAACACCAGTTCACCGGATATTACCTTATCGAGTTCTTTCCTTTTTTGGAACAACACGATTTTAGAAGAAACCAGAGATTCATCAATGGCGTGTGGCGGCATCTGGGACATTACCCTCTTCCGCCACAGTTTTTCGAGTAATTCATAGCCTCATGATCCTGCCAGACCTCGACAATCCAAAAATTCAAAGTATCAAACGAAATCATATCCGGATCGACGCCGATTGTAAGAGCAAAAACCCTTCATAACGGCGTTATAGACAAAACAATCTGTCTTAAACCAGGGATCGGTAAGGGCAGTAACCAATCTAATCGCCCAACTCTTACCTTCCCGGAAAGTTCGAAAAATTCTCTCTTTCCCGGGAAAATCCAGCGCCGGCGCGGGAGATTCAGCCGCCGAAGCAGAGGAAAGTTCCTTCACCAATTTTCTCGACATTGAATACCCAAAACGGAGGAGCAATCTTCCCGATCTCTCTCAAATTCCTTCGTCGCCGATCCTCGCTCCTTCGTCCCCGAGACTTTGAATCCGCGGAGAAGGCGCGTGGCTTTCACGCGTTCAGGAAAACACGGAGAGAATTGGGCCTACTGGGCTTACCCATATTCGGCCCATTATAGTCCATTCATATCCATTTTTTCCCTTTTTTGCGAAGGAAAAGAAACCATTTGACACCGAGAAAACATCAGCAATTTTTTTTTTGATAATTCGGAATTTCATCGGCCCTTCCGCGTGTACACCTCTAAAGATACCGAGAACGTCCAGTAAATGTCACTGTCCACACTTGGATTTGGACCGCGGTAGCATCCTTTGCATGTTTTATCGGCCACCAAACTTGGTTAAAACAGCAGCTAGTTTACAACAAAAGCGAGTTTACAACAAGGAACCCAATTCAAGAGCTCTTTGTCTGAGAAGACGCTTCTGTATTTTCCCAGTGGAGCTTTTAGGCAGATCCCCAAAAACAACAGTCCTTGGCGCCATGAAATGTGGCAAACGATTCCTACAGAACTCAATCATCTCTCCAGATTCAGCGTCAAACCCATCCTTCAGCTTCACAAACGCGCATGGCGTCTCGCCCCAGTGACCGTCAGGCCGAGCCACGACCGCTGCCTCAAGAACCGCCTCGTGACAGCACAACGCCCTCTCGACTTCCACCGGGTTTATGTTCTCTCCTCCGGATATGATCAGATCCTTTAACCGGCCGGTTATCTCTATATACCCATCTGGGTGTTTCACCGCGAGATCCCCGCTGTGAAGCCATCCTCCTCTGAATGCTTCTCGCGTCGATTCCATGTCCTTGAGGTAACCCATCATGACGTTGTTCCCTCTGAACATGACTTCCCCTTCTGTCGACCCATCGGCTGGTACTGTCTCCATTGTTACAGGATCTTTCACTTCGACATCGTCCACTGCCAGATGCTTTAGCCCTTGTCTGGCTTTCAGCTTCGACCTTTCTCGTGCTGGAAGTAGAGCCCACTCCGGTTTGGACTCGCAGTAAGTCCCTGGACCGGTGGTTTCGGTCATGCCGTACACGTTCGTCACGTTGAACCCTAACTCTTCCATTTCTGTCAGAATCTGCAGAGGCGGTGGCGCACCGCCGGTAAAGACCTCGACTTTGCGAGAAAGCTTCTGTCTTTCCTCCAATGTCGAATTCAGAATCATGTTCAGGACAGTTGGGGCTCCTCCTATGTGTGTCACGTTTTGGGTTGCGATGTTCTTGAAGATTCCTTTTGCAGAGACTTTTCTGAGACAGACGTTCGTCCCGCCCTGTGCAGCCATTCCCCAAGTAAGTGACCAGCCATTTCCATGGAACATCGGGATAGTCCATAGGTAAACAGGTGAAGATGATGGACCCATTTTCGGAAGGAAAGCCGTGGCAAGGGAATTCACGTAAGCTCCCCTATGACTGCAAACTACACCTCTCGGCCTTAACGTTGTTCCTGACGTGTAGTTTATACTGATCGGATCCCATTCACTTTCCGGTTTCCTTCCTGCAAATTTGTCGCTTCCAGACAGTAACAGGCTTTCGTATTCGCAATCAGACGGTGGGGAGACATTGGCGTCATCATCGGGTTGAGAGATTCGAACAAGGGTCGGGAGATTTCTTGATTTTTCAGACATGGAAAGGAGATCGAAGGTTCTTTGAGCAAGTTCAAGAAACTGGTGATCGGCGAAGAGGATTACTGCTTCTGAATGTCTGAGGAAAACAGAAAGCATGGAAGGATCTAATCTTGTGTTGAGCGGACAAAGAACTCCGCCCGCCATTGGAACCGCAAAATGAAGTTCGTACATAGCCGGGATATTCGGCGCCAGAATCGCAACCTATGCGTATAAACAAACCGGTTTCCTAGTTCAGAACAAGACTTCAGTTAAACTCAAAGGCTTGTAATTTCAAGAACTCTGTCTTTGAATGATGAAAGTCAATTATGTTACCGTTCTCTTGTTGTTCGATAACTGAATTTTCTTATACAGATGGGATATAAGAGAAATCTCACCACGTCTCCCCGGGAAATTCCGAGCTGCTGAACGAGTGCAGAAGCGAGTTTCAGACAACGGCTGTAAGTTTGGCTCCAGGTGTAGCTAACAGAACCGAACACAACAGAGGTTTTGTCTCTGTAAACCGTAGCTGTCCTCTCCAAGAAACCAATGGGAGACAAAGGCTCGTAATTAGCCGAGCACCGGACAAGACCCTCCATTGATCTCCATGATTCTTGTCCAAAACCTTCAGCTAAACCTAAGCGAGGCTCCCGAGTTTGTGGAACAGAAACCCGGTTTGCGTTCAATCTTCTGAGAGAAAGATCAAAGTTCAAGAATGGTTTCTTTCCGAGAAAGCGTCTCATGGTTGAAACTTGGCAACAAGAAATGTGTAATATTTGCTCCGAAGAAAGATTCTGAAACTGCAGAGGAAATCATTTGAAGATTCGGAGGGTTTTGTAGGAGAAAGAATTCATCTTTTTGTCTGAATCTGAAGCGAAAGATGCCCAGAAGCTTGTCTTGAACCGAGTCAAAGATTCCGACTCAGTTCCGGCTTATGAGTCAAGTCCCCAACAGTTTTTTTCCCCATAAGATTATATGATTCTTGATGTTGCTTTGATAACTACTAATTTATCTAATTTTATATAAAAGATTATTCATTGTCAACATTAAAAAAACAGAGCAATTTTGTCCATTTCCTCGTACTAATCACGAAACCTTAAGGGACAAAACATGATCCTGAACATCATTACAGAAACACATCAAACTTGTTCCAGCAGTCTGAAAAAGACAACGGAAAAGATGATCCTACACGTTTTCTCTAATATCGTAACATCGTTACAGAAAATACATTTTCGGCTTCAACGATCTCAAAGCTAAATCTCCACAGAAATGAAGAATCTTTTGCAAACATCATATGGTCTACGAGAAAGTGAAACAGAGCCATTTCTTGGCGGCTGCTGGTTTACCGTCTGGTTTCCTCTGAGAAACGGCTTTACTCGAGTTCCGGCCCATCTTCTTATCTTCTCCGGCTTTGCTGAATATGACCGTGAATCCCTCGGCCGTGGCCGGATCGTTCACGTCCCATTCCCCGAATTTCGGCAGAGGCCTTCCCGCTTCGTTTGATGCCATGTTTCCCTTCTTGATTGATTTGATTCTGCACTGAAATGGAAAGAAAAAAGCTTCCTGCTCTTGTTCTTGATTGTTTTGTTTGGATCAGAGACGACGAAAGGAGATGATATCTTTATAAGCGGGGAACAGGAAAGAAATGGAAAATTCCGAATATCTTGAGATCTTCCTACGTATTGCACTCGTACAGAACACGGGCGTATGTTCTCTTTCGGATTTTCTTGGCTGTTTTTTTAGAAGATAAGGAAGAAACTGAAACGCCAGAAATAGAAAATGTTTTCGTACCATGGATTCTGGTGTTTCTAAAAATAGTTTATTCGCAAGCTAATCGTTTTCAGTGGATGGAATCAGGACTTTTTAACAGATTTGGAATGTCCAAAAATAAGCACATAAATACGCGAAATTTAGACATCAGATGTGTATTCTGTTTTGATTCTTGAAATGCGAAAAACAGGGGTTGTGGTGTTCTGTTGCATGCTTCTGAATCAGAGTTTTCAGAAAATGGACTGTTTTATGCACATTGTACAAAAGCCCATGTTCGAAAACTTAGATTCAGAGTTTATATATGTATATATATATTTGCTGAAATCTGTATTTGGAGCCATGTAATGGGGCAAGTGATCTCTACAGAACTCTGTCATCACTTCCAAGAAGCTTGGAGACCAGAAGATTTACCTGCGAATCAAGCAATAACGAGAAAACCCTCTTCGATTCCGATGAATTCGGAGGGACAATACAGACGAATTATAAGAAGATTATGGTTTGCATGGATATACTAATATAGATAGATTATATTGAACATGAACTTAATCAAAGCGGGATGATATTTCAATTGGTGAGTAACCGCCACCTTATCATAAACAGCGTATCAGATTCGGAATCAAAGTGAGGAAACCATCCATTTTCTGCAATTTTTAGCAACAGAGAAGCAAATCCATGGGTGATTTCTTGGGTGGAGGAACCACCTCCAAGATCTCTGGTTCGTGCTACGAAGGCAGACAGACAAGGCGTGTTCTTTCAACCAAAAAAAAAAAAAACTTTGAAGCTTTTTCGTCTCAATCCTCACAATGAAACACATGTAGATGCGTTTCAGGTCCATGAGCAATCATTTGAAGAAGCTATGCAGTCCTCTCTTGGACTCTGACAGAACTATTTGATATTCTTGCATGTTTTCTCTCTGTTTATGTGATGCTGACAAAGAGTTCATAAAAAAAAACTTTTTTTTTCAACTCATGGATACAAGATTCTGCTTCCTGAATCTGAACACTGAAGAGTTCCATTCCATGTCAACAAGATTCTGCTCCCTGAACCTGAGTTAAAAGTTTATTACCAGAAAAATTTCCAGACAATGCCAATCCAAGTGCAGCAAGGAAGAACAGAGAGTCAAAAACATCATATGCTTCATCATCATCCGACAACATAACCATCAAAGCAAAACCAAAAAAATTGTACATCCTCTGCAGCTGGAGTGTAGTAGCAAGCAATGGTGAATTCAATTCAAGCGTGCCTTGCCTGGAAATCCTTCATGAAAGCAACAAGCTTTTCGACACCGGCCAATGGCATTGCGTTGTAAATGGAAGCTCTCATTCCTCCGACCGATCTGTGTCCCTTTAGCTGGACCATCTTCTCCTTGGCAGCTTCCTTGATGAACTCGCCTTCCAGCTCTGACTTCTCCAACGTGAATGGGACGTTCATCAACGACCTGACGGATTTCTCAACTGGACACCTGTAAAAACCTTTGCTTTCATCAATGGCGTCGTACAGCAGCTGAGCTTTCGTCTGGTTCTTCTTCTCCACCTCCTTCAGACCACCTTGCTCCAGCAGATCCTCGAACACGAGACCGCACATGTAGATTCCGAAACATGGTGGCGTGTTGTACAGCGAGCTGTTCTCGTCGTGGATCTTATAATCCAGCATCACCGGCGTGAAATCCATGGCGTTTCCGATCAAATCTTTCCTGATGATAACGATGGTTACACCAGAGGGGCCGACGTTCTTCTGCGCGCCAGCGTAAATCACACCGAATTTGGTCACGTCCACAGGCTTCGAGCAGAAGTTGGAGGACATATCAGCGACCAAGATGCCATTAGGGTTCTTAGGAAATGGGTAATCCTTGAATTCGACTCCATGGATGGTCTCATTAGCGCAGATATGCAAATACTTGGCATCTGGGCTCTGCTCCAATTCTCCGAATGATGGGATTTTGGTGTATTTCTCGGATTTACCCGACCAGATCACCTTGGGCTTGCAGTACTTCTGCGCTTCCTTGTACGCTTTGTCTCCCCACGACCCTGTAACGACATAATCGACTGTGTCGTCGGGCTTGCAGAGATTGAGCGGCAAGGCGGCGAACTGGGTGGTGGCGCCGCCTTGAAGGAAAAGAACGGAATATTCCGGCGGAATCTCCAGGAGCTGACGTAGATCCGATTCAGCCTTCTGGATGATCGAGAGGAACTCCTTCCCTCGGTGGCTCATCTCCATGACGCTCATCCCGCATCCGCGCCAGTCGTAGAG